TTGACAAATGACGCCATGGTGCAGTTATTCCATCACCCCGCCCGCCGCCCCCCCCCCCCCCCCCCCCCCCCCCCCCACCCCGCCACCCCCATCACGCCACCCCCCACCCGCCCCAACCCCGCCCCCCCACCCCCACCCCCAGAACCCACCCCCCTGCCTCTTTCCGTCAGGTCACCGAGATGGACACGAAAGTATCTCACATCGTGACCGCTGCATCGCTGGACCGCTGCCGCATGCCTCTCTCTCTCTCTCTCTCTCTCTCTCTCTCTCTCTCTCTCTCTCTCTCTCTCTCTCTCTCTCTCTCTCTCTCGCTCGCTCGCTCGCTCGCGCTCGCGCTCGCGCTCGCGCTCGCGCGCGCTCTCTCTCTCTCTCTCTCTCTCTCTCTCTCTCTCTCTCTCTACTCTCTCTACTCTCTCTCTCCCTATCTATCCCTCTCAAATCGCATTTCTCTCATCTTTTCCCTCTCTCTCTCCTCTCTCTCTTTCGTCTCTCTCTCATCTTCTCATCCTTTCTCTCATTCTCTCTCTCTCTCTCTCTCTCTCTCGGTTTCTCTCTCTCTCTCTCTCTCTCTAGGTGTCGACCACAACGCCGCAGTCATAGCACTGCATGAGACCCGACATGCCAAGCCTACCAGGCAAGCCATCGCTACCAACGCCGCCAATCCACACCACGGAGGATACCAGGCCAGTCTGGGACCTGACCTGGATCTGGCGCGTGCTCAGCGCAAAGCTGCTCACGGTGGCACGGACCACACGGTTGAGGGCAACACCGGCGCCTCGGGTGGGGTCGCCATCCTCTCTAAGGACGCCATCGTCGACTCCACCGTCGACGACATTGCGACCTGTATCGCCACCCTCCAGGCCAAGAAACGATGGCACGAGGCCTTCCTCCCGCTCTGCACCCAGCACCGCCGCAGGCGGCGACGAAACAACCACGGTCCCGCTGGGGTCTACATTGCGAGCCTCTACGGGGTCGCTGGAGGGGACAGCACCGATTTGTTTCGGCTCGCTGATTGCGCCGCCGCGAGGGTCGGCTCAGCCCCGCATTTCATTTGCATGGACGCCAACACGAACATCGACGACAATCCACATCTGCTGCACATGATGCAGCACGGATGGTTTAACGTCGCTGAAGGCACACCAGACCACACCATGCACACATATGGCAATATCCCTGACTGGGACCGCGTCACCAAGTGCCCCGCACTTCGCGCATCGATTATATCATCGCCAACCAAGCTGCGCGATCCCTTGTCACCGACTTCTGCTATCTGCGTGACTTGCCAGCGAAGTCCCATGTTGGCCTGCAGGTCACACTCGACCTTAGCCGCCTCGATCACACGGCCCCACGCCTTCTGGCCCCCACGCCTTACCCTCCAAACGACGGAGCTCATGAGGACCACGAACTTCAGGCATTAGGGACCCTCATCGCAGGACGATACCACGACCGCATGGAGCAGGCTGACACACGCGACGATGTGGGACGCATGTTCGCCCTGGCAAACGAGGCCAGCCATGAGTACCATCTCACCCGGCTGCGGGACCTGCCGCCCCCACCGCCAGACCACCCAAAAAAGACGGCCCCTACCATGCACGGGCTCACACCCACGTTCGAGGAGCGGCCCGCCGTCCCCCGCGCCTTTCCCACCTACGGAGCTTCCACGATTCACATGAACCGCCTTCGCAAGCTCCATCGGCAACTTTGCGAGCTTCGCTTCATCGGACAGCACCATCACATGGACTGCCGTGCTATCCCGCCGCACCTGGCGCAACGCATCGACTGCACGTGGACCGCGGCCCGCCTTCTCTGCCACAAGTTGCGCCCCACGGCCCTCCTGGCCTTTCCTGGCGCCTGGGCCCCCGACGTGCCAGCACCACGCGGAGAGCACCTAGATCGTCTGATCCAAAACCTAGACTCGGAGCCGGCGCGACGTGCAAACCGAGCCAAAGCTGAACGCATCAAGATCTGGGCTGAGGGTGTCCGCGAGCCAAGCGGGCGAAAGGCGGCCATATACGCACGGGCTGCCGACTGCTCGCCCACGGCGTATCTCCTCACGCCTACCACTCCCGACGATGCACAGCTCCACTGCGACACCACCGCCTTCAACCCTGACCAAGCTAGCACGGACGATAGTGACGCCGACACCGACGCCGGCGGCTTCAGCCCCAGCGACGGTAGTTCGCTCGACACGGACAACGACGACGGCCACACTCGTGGCCCACCACCTGCCCAGGTTCCCGACGCCCTCCCCGCCGACGCTATTGTTGCCAACACCAAAGACATGCTTAAGCTCATGGTCGGGCAGGTACCGCGCTCGCGCGGGCCATGACGCCGAAGCTATGCCGAAGTGGGCGGACTTCTACGACGAATACCGACAAGAGCTGCCTACGCCATCACCAGCAGCCCCTTTCCACCTCACCGACGACCAACTCATCACTTCATTCGCACCCGTTCACCGCGCCGCGCGGGGGGACTCGACGGCTGGACAACTAAGGAGGCTAAGGAGTTACCCGACGACATCCTTCGCCTCTTCGCCAGCGTCTTACGTGCTATGCAACGCACTGGCACCATCCCCGAGCCCCTCCTGCACGTGCCAAACCCGCGCCTCCGAAAAGGCCGAGGGGAACTCCCGACGGACCAACGACTTCTCTCGGTTCTTTCCGTGTGGATGCATGCGTGGGAAGCGCCGGCCTACCGTAG